GGAACTTGAAGCTTAACCGCGGAGTTGCTCAAGGCACTGTGTTAGAGCCACTAGCCTTCTTAATCTATGTAAATGACGCGGGCAATGCACTTAAATATTGCAGTCATCAAATGTATGCGGATGATCTCCAGATATATCTAAGTGGTCACCCGTCTCACTTCGTTTCACTCGTACAAAATATTAATGAATATTTGATAGCGGTAAACAACTGGACAGCATCTTTAGGCTTACAATTAAACCCAAACAAATCACAATGCATGATTATCAGCTCGAAATGCACTATGAATAAAATATCATCTTCTCCTTTGCCTAATACTATTTATATAAATGACACCATTCTACCTTGGTGTTCTGAAGTCAAGAACCTAGGTGTAGTTATCGACAACACTCTCAGCTGGAACTCAAACGTAGATTCAACCTGTCGTAAAGTTTTTGCTTCAATGCATTCACTGAAACGCCTGCGAGCACTTTTACCAGGTAGCACACGTGAGACTCTCATCAAATCACTAATCATGCCACATTTGAGTGTGACAGCGCAATAGTGGCCTATGCCAAATTTTTAGGAAATTGCGTTCTCTGTGTTAATCACATCTTAATCTCCCTAACTTCAACGTGTAACAGTTTCAGCTTGCTCGCGTCGATAGTTTTCAAGTTATAATTACAAAAAGAACTATTGCACTCAGCTTACGATTACATTTCTTTGGGCAATAGTGGCCTAAGCATAGGCGATGCTGTTTTACACAAGATGTAATCCACCACAAATGTTTAGTCAGTGGTGATTCTTACATGGCCTGTGACCAACACTTCGGTCTGATTAAAAAAATAAAAATTCTATCCCAATATTTTCTCACCGGCTGATTGGATAAACGTCATTATTACTACATGAAAAAAGCATTTTATGTTGTGTTAATGGAAAAAATGATTTTGTATCTACAAAATCCTTAGAAAATAATACAACAAACAGAAAGATATCCCTGAGAAAAACAAAACTGGAGAGGCAGAAAATGCAGTGGACAAAATTGGAAAAATCAATCCTATTATTCATTATTTGTTAAATATTTGAACATTGAGGATGATGCTTACTGGAAAGTTATAATTGCAAAACGTGGCTCCAATGAAACTACTTTTCGTGATTTACTGTATCCCAATGGACAAGCAGTTAGTGAAGAAAAGAATGACTGATGGATTTTGCACCATCTATATACCATCTATTTTATATAAATTTAAAAATTTCTGTAACATAAAGTGCAGAAATACTGCGTGTTAATGATTTTTTTAAATAAAATAAAAACTTGCAATATACTTCTCTTTTTATTTTTTGTGTCAATAATGCCCTAACTTTCCTTCATTACAGTTGTCTGTGCAATTGGTCAGTGCATTAGTGGCCTAACCCACAAAAAAATTATATTTTGACTTTTTCAATACGGGCACTCTTATGAATATTAAGGTACAATACAACACCAAAGAAATTATTTATTAAAATGCTAGCACTTACAGCACAAGAAAACACTTACAAATGAGTGTTTAATTTTGCC